TGGTCATGATGTGCCTATATATATACTGTCTCTTATACACATCTAGATGTGTCCTTGCTTTGGGCTCACACACGTCAATGCCCATCCTTGAAATCAATATACTTAAATACGACATTAGTGTACTGTAGATATTCTACATACAATATATAGGCCTATACCTTGCTTACCCTTTATTAACTTTGGTTTTGTAGATAATAATATTAATAATAATGATAAGGATTATAATGATGATAATAAAATATATTATATAATGGTGAAATCTAGTTTTCGGTGTTTTTTTTTTCTTTTTTTTCTTTTTTTTTGTTGTAATTTTCATATCTGCTTAATATACAATTTTTTGGAAAGCACTTAGAGGATTTCAATCGTACAGACAAACATAAAAATGACAATAATAACGATGATTATAATAATAATATTATTACAAGAAAGACATTGATAGACTGCAGAATTTCAAAACTCTGCTGCTCGCTTAGTCTTTTCATGTAATCCTCGTACACACTCTGCTCCTCTCATCAATGAACTTCATTGGCTGCGAGTTAATAATAGAATTATTTTCAAAATTATTCTCACTATTCACAAATGTATCTATGGTTTTTCTCCTAACTATTTATATGGTTTTCTCGACCAACGTATCCCTACACGTACAACACGTTTCTCTTCATCTGTACATTTCATTATACCACGTTACAACAAGAGAATTGGAGGTTTTTCATTTCCTTGTTATTAGTATTAGTATTAGTATTTAGATACGCTATTCATGGAAAACTATATCATAGCGTTTACAGAGTTGAATAATGATTTGAAGCAATAAGCTCAAGTTAATTTTGAAAAAAAGATATGTTTTCAGTAGTTTTTAAAAAGATTCAACATTATTTGTTGTTTTAATAACTGTAGGGAATTTATTCCATTCTATGGCCGCTGTTACACTAAAGGAACGATCACATGATCTGCTATGAACTAAGGGGCATGAAAGGCGAAAAGGGTCTGATTCAGAGCGAAGATTTGGTCGTAATGTATGACGAATTTTTAAACAACTACTGAAATATATTGGTGCTTGATCACTGAGACATTTAAACACAAATAAAAGAATTTTAAATAAAATGCGTTCTTTGATGGGTAGCCAGTGAAGACAATTAATCAGTTGTCTGGCATCACTACGTCTGTCTTCACGATATATGAGATTCTGAAAACTTTGTAGTTTCCTAATGTGTGCCTGGGTAACCCCTGTAAGGAGACCATTACAATAATCTAGTCTAGAGAGTACATGACTTCTCACTGCATGGTTACATGCGTCTTTAGTAATGTACTTTCTAATCCGTTAATTGTTATGCTTCTATACTTTGGAATAATCTTCCAACTGACCTTAGAAATATCTCTACTCCTAATCTTTTTAAACGTGCACTCAAGACTTTACCTGTTTGCGTAAGTTTCTTTATGCTGCTTTTTCCTTTTGTGCAATATAAATACCCAATACCAGTACCAGTTACAATAGTAATAACAAACATAATAATTATTATAATAATAATGTATTATAGATTGATTGACTGGTTGACCTCATGATTGTGGTTGTTTGTTTGGGTGGCCTGTATAAGGACATAAGCCTTCAGAAATCTGATATTTTATAAAACCTACAAATTGTAAAAAAGAAATGATATTTTGGGGTTATTCCAAATTAGGACTTCGTAACAATTTTTTAGATTTGAGAATTTCGATGTATACATTATAAACTTTAATTCTAAGTACGATGACTTTGTTTAGTGTTTTTTATATATAGGGGCCTATCTTTGACCTTAAATTGTATTTTACTTACAGTTTTATGTAATAATATATAACGAGTTTTAGTTTTATTGTATCGTTCCGCAATATAAGAATGATTTATCTGATTTGCTGGTACAATATATGTATAAAGTTGGTAAACAGCTTAACCGAAAGCATTAAAATCATGCCTTTTTTGTTCGACTTCTGTCGTGGAGCTCCTGTAGAAATCACTGTACTTATAGCTTATTTAGCTATTTCACTTCTCTCCATACAAGGAGTGGTTTTCACAGAGTATGTAGTTTTGTTGGAACTAAATTCAACATCTGAGGATGTAGACCCATATTACACTCAGGTATTAGTGGCAAATTGGACCACAATTTTTCTTGTGTGTCAGTCTCTGCCAGCAATATTTATTATGCTGTACGTGTTAACATGGAGCGACCGCTTCGGCAGGAAATTCACAATGATTCTTCCAACTATAGGATTGCTAGGGGCATCCATCAGTTTTACTATCGTGTACGTATACGGACTACAGATCGAGTACCTTCTTATCGGTTACCTTTCAATTGGTTTGACGGGAAACACCATTTTGCACCGATCTGGTGCCGGTTCCTATATTAGTGATACATGTACCCATTCAAATCTAACACTTCGAATGACGATACTTCTTGGTATCAATTACCTTGGAATTGCTCTAGGACAGTTATGTTTTTCCGTATGGATAGATACCACCGGATTTCTACAGCCTTTCATATTCATGACAGCTTTACTGGCTTTTTCTATTTTTTACACCGCATGTTTGATGGAGGAATCTATAGATCCTAGGCAAGTGCAGCAGGAGTTTTCTTTCAAAGATGTTGTAGCCGACATAATTAATGTTATAATGAGCAATAGAAACAATCGTCGCAAATTAATGTTGTTGCTCATGAGTGCTCGTGTTGTAAACTCAGTCATGATAAATGCCTTTTTCTATGGGATACAACTGTACGCTATCGGTCCGCCTTTGTACATGTCTACAAGCGCCGCCGGTTATTATACCTTCGCATTCCTTCTATCAAATGCAGTGGGTAAGTAGGCTGAATACAGTTTACAAGTACATAAAGAACATAAATTTTAGCATGTTAAAATACAATCATAAAATTAATATTAAGAAAATTAACTGGAGTACAAAACGACTATCTACATTGATCATCAAAAATTTCAGATGAATACAATTGCATTTCCATTAACTTAAGTCCTTATACGAGTAAACTTCATTCTACCAACCGACCCTTAGCAAAGAGCAACTCGAACAAGCGCCGATGTTTATGCGGTTCCCCTTACCCCTCGGTCACTCTACTCGCCCCACAATATTTACCCAATTAGTTTATTATTAAAACTGTCAAAAAAAATTTAAATTATTTGTAGTAATGTTATGGGGATCGACTTATGTATGGTAATACAACGCCCTTTTCATTCGGAAATTACAATGTCCGCTTATATGCCAGAATGTTACGTACAGGACAATATAAAATAAATGACAGCAGCACTTTTGAGACTAACAATATAGAATTATGTTGTTGTTCTATACCAGACCAACGCGGCTACTCTTTTTATTCATCATGGTACAGGACAATAAAGGTGCACCAACAATTAATTTTGAAGATATAAGATTGTCACACCCTTTATCAAAATCCTGGTTAAAGAGCTGAAGAGAGAGTGCGAGAGTAGCGAACTAATATTTTGTATTGACTAAAATTCTGTTCAGACTATCACATTTTCTTTGACAAAAAAAACTGTTGTATGCCCATATATAGTTGATGTGCCTATATATGGTCATGATGTGCCTATATATATATATATATATATGGTCATGATGTGATGTCATCATGACCATACGCATGACACTTTTTTTTATAGTTTAGACAAGGCCTTACAAACTACTGTCAATTTACATTGCCATTGTTATTTAGGAATGCTGTTTATCACCAAAGCATTGCAGAAGTATATCCACATAAGCGACTACGCTCTCATCTACCTGGGGTCGTTTTCAGCTATGACGTCATTGCTGGTCATCGCTGTCGCTTCCTCTGTCACTATTGTATACTTGTGTGAGTTACTGTCCATTATAAGACCATAGTGTATTGAGTTTTTAAAAATAATTATATCTCCAAATTGGCTTTAAATTAAAACTGATTATTATTTTGATATTATTGTTTCGGATTCCCTGAAGTGTGTGACAATTTCATGAAGAATACAACAACATAATGACAATGATTAGAAAAAGAAAGAAAATTCACATTGTGTAGAAATATATCTCAATCTCACTAATTATTTCTTCCAAATTCAATAAACAACAGTAAAACAATTCATAATAGATAAGTTTGATAATCTTGATCACAACCTGCTTTCAAATTTTAGGCAACAAAACGGTGCAATGGTTTTGGGTCCCTGTAAGAATCTGTTTTTGTGTTTTTTTTTTTGTTTTTTGTTTTTTTTTTTTTTTGTTCTTTTTTTTTTAACTTTAGACGGTGTTTGTCATGAATGCAAGCATAATTCTGCAAGTCCTTGTTTGCTGGTACTTTTCTAAACTGTACATTCTGCGGCATCATTGAAAAAATTTTACATTTCCATTTGTCGAAAGTCTCATTAATAATTTAGAATTTCAGAATCTTTAAATGTGTTTTAAAATCCGTCCTACTCTTCGAAAAGAGAGAAGATTTTAAGAGATTTTCTTGTGTAACAGAAAGGTTGGTCGAATTTTATTTTTGACGACGGTATAAATGCAATAGTAGACGTTTTCTGATCATTATGTATTAGTATTATCGAGTGTTTAGAAAAGTGCTGACTTTATTAGGTATAAGCCTGTAATAGTGGATGAGTACTAAGATTACCTTCATATACGGTAGTCTCATGAGTTTAAGATGATACAATGGAGTACGCGCTCAAAATATTAGTTTTAAAAGGTTCAAGGTTATTTATCTATATTGCGCAAAATACGAGAGTTTTATAAATTGTCTTAATGATATGATACCTATCTGGAATGGATATAGTGTCATTCTGTAGACTGAAAAACAAAAAGCTTTGTACTCTTCCTCACTGTGCTTAATACCAAACATTGAGAGTCATATGCAAGTCTAAATGTAGGCCCTCACTGGGCATTTGAATAGGTTGACTTTTACCAGGGAACAGTGAAATATATACAATACTTCGTATGAGTTGATGGTAGTAGATCATGAATTTGTGCTATAAACACCATCGTAATTCACAAATCCGAAATTTATCATAAATTAGTTGCTTCTCAAAAATGTAACTTTTTAAATAAATGGAAATTAATATAGATTTATTGAAACATCTCTCTGGATATATAATTTATTAGGCGTGTATACAAATACATCAAGAATTACAGACGCCTTGCTACTTAACATAACCAGTGGCATATCTGGAAGTCTTAAAATGGGGAGGGTGGGGGCTGATGGAGAGCACTAAGGTAAAGTGGGAGCCTCAATTATTGAGTGAGGGGGCGATAGCTCGCGAAATAGGGTGATATAAGGTAATTTTTAACTACATGTGGGAGGGAGTGACCGCACCAGTAGACACTGATAATAATATAAAATACTATTTTCTGTAAAAACGTTAATATAAATAGAGATGTAACTTTGAATTTGTTTAAAGCCGTGCCATTGACTGCCATGGCTGCCCTACCGAAAGCAATCATAGAAGCTCAACTTCCAAAGCTGGTGGAGAAGAACGAGAGAGGTCAGTTTAACTACTTCTTAATGGTCTTTGAATGTGTGGTTGATATGTTTTTTTTTAATAGAATAAAATTACATTTTTATTTTATTAACAAGAGATTATACAGTGGTCCCTTTACAATAACGGTTCCTTAAAGACTAGGGACCACTGTCTTCCTTGCTTAATGTTACTTACTGGTGCTTTAAGTAGTAACACAGAATTAAACAGAAACACGATTTGTACTTAAAATACTTTAAAGTTTCGGATCCAGGAATTTGAAATAGGCGGGGGGGGGGGCAAGGCAGGGAATTTAAATGGCCGGAAATGGCACTCAAAAAAAATAAAATAAAAATTGAAAATAATTTTCTTCTCCATTTTTCTACAATTTTGAAAAATTGACGGGGGGCGGCGGGTCGGCTGGGCCCCAATTGAATCCGCCACTGATTTCAAATAGCATGTCGTTTTGTTTTTCATTTAGACCTGTACTGCCTCAAATAACATACTTTTTAAAAAGGGCAAACATCTGATACATGTATTAACAGGTAATAATTTTGCAATTAGACATCAAAGTATACTTAACAAGTAAAAAGGTTTTAGTATAACGTATTATCTTGAGATTATATATAAAGAGGCGTTTGATAAAATGAATCAATAGGGCCTACATTAAAAAGGTGGGCTACTGCTTCAAATTGTAGCAATAGTTCTTGTAGTTCACTCGAAAAATTATAGGCCTACGACTAAACGCAAATTAGAATCTGTCGCCCTCATAATGATGTGAGTTAAATACGTTCTTCTAAAAATCCACAAAACATAAATTTTAATGCTTCAACAATTATGAATAGTGTCCTTGATTAGATTATGATACGTCTCTAAAATGGTGGTACTCATCCGTATACATTACGCTTATCTCTTATAACTTATAAGTTAATGAAACTACTAAAATTAATCGGGGTTTTTTGTGAACATTGCACGATTAACCCTGCAAAACTTGCATAGATAAGGTCAACTGTAAACATATTTGATAGGCAGACCCCTATTAAAAATTAAACAAAATATTAAAATTACAGTGTTAATTAATTGCACAGAGAACCTGAATAAATTGTGAATAAAATTGCAGTATAAAAATATAATAGGGCCTATAAAAATAGATTGGTACAAAAATAGTCTATGTAAGATTTTAGATTTAATATCTAATTATTCGGCACTGCAAATTCTGTATGCTGGTATCATATAGATTTTGACACCCGTGAATTTTGCACACTTGCCTTCCTAGGAGAATTCGACCAGAGCCAACTTTCTGGTAAATTTGAAATTAGTGTGTGGGTTTTTTTCAAAAGAATAATTTAATCTAACAGTTAATAATTACTGAAGTTAATGAATATTCATAAAATTATTTTATATTTCGTTATGAAGGAGCTATATTCGCTCAGTCTGGTGTTTTGGACAACCTCGGGTTCCTACTAGGACCTGTTTGGATTGGCGTCACATACTCAGCTACCGTAGAAACTATTCCAGGTCTTATTTTCTACATAATGTGTGCAGGAGCTCTAGTTACAATGCTTCTTATAGTGTAAGTATTGACCATATTTATTTCATTATATTTTGTCCAAAACTAAATAACAATTACAAAGACACTGGTATAGGCATTTATAATAAAGCAACAGATAAAGTGCCTTCCTCAAAGACATAAGCAAAGTGCACAGCGAGGGATTGGGAAACCTCGAGGTTGGGAAACCAAACCGTTCCCGCTGCGTCAAACCGCTGGGTGCGTAAAAGTGACAATCATCACAAACATTTTAATAAGCAGGTCAGATGCCCAGAGCCGAAGCTGCCCTCTTTATTTTTATGGTTATTAAGCAACTAAATATATTTTTTGCAATGCTTTTGCACACTGCACCACAGATGACTAAGTAATACGGCCGGTGGCTGACCACTATATTCATTATTTACCTCGACAAATACATATTGACTACTGTATACTTGTTTCTTTTTAACAGATATATTCAACTGAAATTTGGATCTGTTGAAGAAATGCTGGCCAGGTCATCCAAAACTGAAGAGGAGTATATCAGCGCTAGTGAAGAAACCTATCTTTTATCGACATCATCGATCGGCCTATAGGGCTAATAAAAGATTAACAACTGAGTAAAAAAGAATTGATGCAATTAACGAGGGAGTGATATTACATGATGCTTCAGGGGTGGATTTAGGGGGATACCGGGCCGGCCGCGGCCTCCCCCACCCGCTCATTAATATTAATTTTCTTTTTTTTTTTTTTGGAAAGTTAAAAAAAAAAAAAAAGAAAGAAAGAAAAAGAAATAATTTCTCACCCAAAATGCCTCAGAGGTTATTTTCAGGGTCTAGAAAACAACAACAAAATTCGCCAGGACAGGCCCCAGGCCCCTAGGATAGTGTTGTCTCGATTGGAAACACATTCTCCCCCCAACCCCTTTCCGGATGTCTCTGGCTCTGCCCCTGTGCTTCAGAAAGAGTTATATGCAATGACAGTAAATCCATAATTGACGTCAGTGCCTTTTTAACATAGGTATAATGGACACATTAGATATGAAACCACCTGCTACAAATAAGAGGAAAGATATAATAGGCCAATTTTAGTACTCATGATGTCTACAAGATTTAACACAACATTAACAGTGACTGATACCATATTAATGTGTGGGAAAGGATTTGCATTCAGGGGTGGGGCTGATGGGCATTCCCAGAAAACTGGAAGCCATCAAAGAACTCCCTTGCCTGCAATTCAATATTCTCGGTCTTATAGATAATAAAAATAACGACAATTATAATGGTAATATAAACGTCTCTTCTTTTATTTATATTTTCTGGAAAAGACACAGGGTACACTATGTGCTATACACAAGGAACACAAAAACAATGACGATAAAGGATAATAATAAATATTATTAATATTAATCTCACTTACAGCAGTTTGATCAAACTTATTGTTTAATGTATTTACTTATTTAGATTGTTTCTTTTTCATATAATTTCATTTTTTTTTAATGTTACTTTTATTCCTGATTAAACACAACTTTTAAATAATCTTTATTTAAGTGACCTATTTATCTTAACAGACCCCATCCCATGGAATATAAATCACAAAAAAAAAAATGCTAAGAACTAGAATTATTTCTTAATTACAATTTTCAAAAAGTTAAAAAAAAAAAGTAAAAATGTTACCATTTAGGCTTTGGGCCTCTTATACGTTCCAATTCTTTTTGCCTTTTGGATTCCAAAATTGTGTCTTCCTCAAGGCGCAGCCGTTCCATTCTTAGTTTAGCTAGTTCGTAGCGGTATGGTGAAACCACCTCTTCTCCATCAACAAACTGTTGAGATGCCACAAGATAGTTATAATCCGAAAATGCCTTTGATGCAGGCTGGTGACTCGAAGCTAAAAAATTGCTTGACTTCCCTTTTGAGATATTTGAATGTAGAGGTTGACTTAGCGCATTTCTCAAAGCTGATTGTCTAGATGTTACGGGGAAGAAATTGCTTGCATTTGGAGGAATTGCTATCTCAGAATTAATACGCTTTTGAGCAAGTTCAGTGCCCAGCATTCCAGTAGTTCTTGAATGCGGTGATATAGATTTTGTACTCACCCCGAGAGATTCAAAAACAGGAAACTCTGCATCTTTCCTCAGGTGTATCGGTTCTATATACCACTGCGACTCTGGAAGATTTCTAGATTTATAAGTGGTTTTTTTCTCGTAGTCCTCATTTTCTTTCAAGTCACTGTCAATGAGCTTTTGTAGTTCATTTTCAAAAGCCATCAAACTTTCTTCATCATCACTGTCTCTGTCGTGGGCGTGACCACCATAATTATGCTCTGTGAAACTCACACTTTTGTTGAGGCTTTTATTCAAGCTGCTGTTTAAACTTTGGAGATCCAATGACAATTCGCCATTTCTTTTCCTTCTGTCCTTCTTAAGACTACTCTTCTTTCCATTACGAAGAATGCTGCCGACACTATCTGCGAGTCTTTGTGTATCTGTTGAACGAAAACCCTCATAGATTTTACTCCCTGTCTCATTTTTCAATGTATTTCTAGCGAAAATAGTTGACTGAGACAAATTACCTGTACTTAATGTACGTTCTGAGTTGGTCTGGTACAGCCTTGGATTTTCATATCTGCAAGAAATTTCCTGGGTTAAAATTACAGTCAGTAGTAGGCCTAGGCATAGTAGTAGTAGTAAAACTTATTTGTACTGTACTTCAATTGTTTATTTTTAATTATTTTTGGTTAAGCTAGGATATTTTATGTTTTCATTCCATTTCTTGTGTTCATTTTGTGTAAAGTGCTTTGGCCAAGAAGCATTGTTTTGTATTAAGCACTCTATAAGACCAACAATAACATATTATTATTATTATTCATTATTATTTTAGATTAACCTAGGTCTAGTCCTAGCCTAGTGATATTAATATATGTTGGTGTAGGGCCTAAATACTTTATAAAGTTCATTGTTTAATTTTTCTTATTTGTTAAACAAAGACTTTGGAAATCAATGCTTTAGAACTGATGAGAAAGTGTCATTCAGTATTAGGCCAAATAAAATTAAAATTAATTGCTAGTTAAGTTTCACGTCCACACCCTCATCAAATTCTGGAGCCTCATGAAAAAATTTACTATTTGCTATTTTTCAAAAAAAAAAACATTAATTTTTTCATGTACAATAAAAATAATGACTATCTGAAAGAATGTTGTCAAGCTTAGGGCACATAGAAAAAATTATTAGAGGGGAGGGGGTGTTCCTTTTTGTATTTTTAATCGGAACAATAGAATAGGCATATTGATGTGTTTTTTTATCAATGAGGGAGGAACCGTTTTTATTTGGCAAGAATATTGTAAATATTGTATAAAAACTGGTTTAATTCTATAATTTTTTAAAGAAAATGTATTTCCAGTCACAAAACTGCATTGTTTTTTTTTTATCTTGTTGAAATGATGTAGCAAAAAAATTTATTTTTTTTATTCCCGCATCAATATTTCCCAAATTTTTTATGCAGACGGGAGTGATAATCTAACAATTTTTTTCTATGTGCCCTAAGAAGGGGTGGGAACAAATGGCAAGAATTTCATTACAAAGATTCATTTTATTTCATTTATAAAAAAAAGATTTTTACTATTTACCAGCCTGTTTACCATTAGTAGTGAGCTTTCGATTCACGATGGTGGGCAATGGGTACGGAGAGCTACCTGACCGTCACGAACGCCTCTTATCCTGTTGTGAAAACATGTTTCGATCATTCTACCCGCTGCACGACGGTGGCTCGTACACAAAGGCCCTCAAGTTAACGTTGAATGAAAACTTTCTTGCAAACTAGCCTAGCCTGGTACGCATTCTAAGAAACAGAGAATGCTGAATTTACGTGTAGTTAAGTGAAAACACTGAAAATGCATATTTTCTTGATGATGCAGAATTTATGTTTTTATATGACATAAATACGTCAAGAAATCCAGATCCCCAGTACAACAATTATGCCTCATTTGATTTAAACGGATACAATGATGACGAGTGTAACAGTTAGGTTAGAGGCTGCTTGCACAGAAAGCTGAAAAGCCTAGGTTTCGTCTGTCCATGCATCACACACAACTTAAACATTCCCTGGTTCCCGGTGTGTCGCTTCCCGTCATATTTTAGACCAAACGTTAAATCGAGAGAAGACCGTTCTGGACTTGAACAAGAGACGGAGGGTACTGAACTTACACCGATGCGCAGATACATTTTTGTACCATTTTACCGTCCTCTCCTGTCTACCATCATGAATTGAAAGCTCACTAGTATACGCTAGGACATTAAAAAAAAAAAAAAAGTAAATATCCTCACCAAAAAAATAATTTCAAATCCCGGACATGACACTAACAATTAATTTTATTTGGCCTAAAGGCTAAAGAAAGAATAAATAAAACTACGACACACACATTTCACAAACATGGCAACTACATTCAATCGTGTAATGGTATTCTCTCATTGTTGTCTAGCCTTTGACCTACTGTACGCCTAGGTCTAGGCCCCTAGGCTAGGCCTAACTAGACTGAGCTCTATCAATCAGAACAGTGCGTCTCCGCCCCCCAACGATTGGCATGCTCTATCTCCGCGTCCCTGGCAACCTGGTAACTAGCCTAGGCCCAGCACAGGCTAAACTACAGGCGCCCTAGGCCTACGTTCATTCATTCGATTGTAAGATACAATGGGAAATACCTTATCGGTGTTGCTGTACCATGCAAAACAAAGTCTTTATCCGGATTTCTAGGCCTAGTAAACATTCTTAGAATTAGATAACAGGTCGACCGCCGACACAAGAGAAAACACACAGCATAAACAAAAAGTCGTCACGCTTCGCTAAGGATGGGTGCGTGGTTTGCGCATGTCCAATAGCGATCAATCATTTTTTCCATAACAGAAATGAATTGCCTAATAAGCAATTAGTAGAGCCCCGCATAGTACACTATAGGAAAATTATTATACGAAGGTTAGATTCAATGCTTGAAAAATTTTCCTGTGGGCCTGCAAGGCCCGAAGGAAATTTTTGAATAATTTCTATTTTAATTGGGTTTTTTTTTAATCGAATATTCAGCCATGGATTTTTCAAGTCCAAGTCAGATATGTGAGACATGTGTTGGCTTGGTGTGGGCATATTTTTATGTTTTATGGTCTGACTGCCCGACGAGCTCTGTCCGGCGGTGGTGGGGGGGGGGGGGCTTGACCTTTCCGGTAGGGGGACTTAAGTACCCCCTGTCCCGCCGCAACTGCAATGAATACGGGTGTCCCAAAGGAGGGGTCCTTAGTAGGCCTATGTATTTTAACACATATCAAATTTTAATCAATTAAGTCAAACCTAAGGCTTTTAGTACAATACTCGCGATTCTGTGAGGTATCCGGGGCGGATCAGATCATTGAGGTGTAAATACATCCTACTCCATGATATTTGCAGGAGGGGGATGCAGAAAGAAGGGAAACTCCTATAAAAATAACATAAGGATGTGGAGCAATGAAGTATCTAAAAGTCTTGAAATGGGAGGGCTGATGGGGTAGTGCACGAAGGTCACGGGGGTGGGGTTTAGAGCCCACAAATGTAAAAATTTACCACAAAAATGTAAAAATAACAACAAATGTAAAAACTTTGTACCCACAAGTGTTAAAATAACATCAAATGTCAAAAAAAATCTGTTTAACCAACAAATTTCCATTTTTACCTCAAATGTCATAATGTCAACAAATGTATAAATTCATTCTAATATAAGTTATTATCAGTTGTATGGGTATGGCATGTGTGTGCGTGAGATTTTCCTACTAAGCATTGAAACCTTTTACAGTATATTGAAGGACTGCTGAGCAGTTAAGGGCCCGGTTGCGCATTTTATTACCAAAGCAACTTAAGAAAATAGGCACAACATAATATTGATATGTATAGATTTAAAACAAAAATCGTGTGCCAAGTTTCTGACGCCTACTATGGCCGATCCTCCAGTCATAGGCCTACGGTCATTATTGACGCTCATTCTTGCACTGGGATAAAACTTGCCTCAGTGTGAATACTTTACATTGATAAAGGTGGAAACGCCAAATGCGAATAAATTTAAAAGTAATGGATGAATAAATAAAAACAAGAATATAAATATGCAAGGGTGAAGGATTGATCATCATAAAAAGCTGTAGGCACAACGATCACTGTCTGTGAGGATGGTTTTAAATCTATATGTAGAGCATTAAATTGTAAATTTAATGCTCTATGAGTCTAGAGTGCTCTTAGTCTAGGTTCATGTTTTTTTTTGTTTTTTTTTTTGTCCGTTTCCTTCCGTTGTTGTCAAGCGCCTATCTATAATGAAGTATGGGCCAACTAAATGTACTGAAATAACTTAATTAAACTGATTCAATCAAGCAAATGCTTGTCAACTGGTTGTGAAGGGGTACAAGATACAATATTATTTATGAAATTGTTTGTATATTATGCAGTTATAATGTATGAGGGAAAATCAATAAACTGAAACTGAATTATATTTTCATTGCTGCGAAGCAGCCAATTCATATTCTTGACAGCAACCTCTGAAAGGTCATTGTTTGTCAAAAAACAAGTGCCTAAGACGACTGAAAAGCGGAGTTTCCTTCTTTCGTTCTGCCGGGTAAAATAAATTACTTTAGGCGACGTTTGTAGACTAACCTTCTCGTACCAACGTCCGCATGTTCGCGCTCTCTAGGCCTAGACTAGCTAGGATGGTATAGCCCTAGCCTTGAAGGGACGAAGGTCCCAATGAAAAACAACGTCGCTCTTTGATAGCCTAACATTGTCTATTTAACATCACAATAATTCATTATTAGACCTATAGTTGTTTTTGAATTGTACTCCACAAATCTCAGCCGATACCTCGCACAACTCGTTAACGTCTAGTCTCTCGCTATCTATTGTCGTGACGTCATGGCTCGCTGGCTCACACTTGCGATGTCTCGCACTTGTGATCAAATAACACGCTGGCTCGCACTTTGGCAACACTCTTTGGCAGTCAACTCGCCCCTAGAAAACCTGCCCTTGGAAACTTGCCCTATAAAAAATGTACACTTCCTAGACCATGCAGTCTTCAAAATAAAAATTGTAACCTTTGGTAATCAACTACACCTTCCACATACATAGAAATTTTTGAAACTTTATTAAAAAAAAACCTAAACCATAATTCACCATAGACACTTTTTGACAAAAATGAAAAATTACTACTGAGAAGTGTTCTAATATAGACAATGGGTCGTGTCTCATATTATTTGTTATAGTTTTATTATTCATTATTTTCACTTGACTTGCATAAATAATTTTGTTCGAAGAACATTTATATGCAGTTGTACTTCGCAGCACTTCACTTGCAATTTGCAATTTCTAGTTTATAGTATTACTTTTGTTGAGGTCTCCATCTCAATACAACAAGGTAATAGAGCCACAGGCTTATCATAGATAGAAGAAACACCGTTTTCTTTCTTTTAATAACACAAAATGATTTATATCGCCAGATATGTTAAATTTTCAGTTACGGATAATAGATGCATATTCTGGTATTTAGGACCATAATTATTCTACAACCAGCAATTTTAAGGATGTGAAATACAATTAAATTTGGGAAGAATTGGATATATAAAGGTAACAAAGTCAAAAGTCTGGAGTATCATATCCGTTTACCATAGTACTAAATACTTTGCAGTATTACTAGAGCATATAAATTAGAGCATATGTATCTGATATATTGACATATGTATATGCTCGTTATTAAGGGTCAAAGGTCAGATATGTCATTTGCGATCACTTTCGGACAAAACGCTGCATTAGAGCAAATAGATACAGTACATGTATATTCCCGACGATTGGACACCAAAATATATGGTCTCTGTGACTAACGGATAAGGAGATATCTACAGGGTAGATAGGGTCAGAGGTCAGAAATGTCTTTTTTCAGTCACTTCTATAGACAAAACGTTGCATTAGTGCAAACAGAAACATGCATGTTTTGAACACGCCACAATTAGGTCTCTATGACCAACGGTTATGGAGGTAAGAACATACTGCAAGGTACTATAAGGTCAATGGTCAGCTAATGTAATTTTATGTCACATTCGGACAAAACATTGCAATAAAGATGTACATGTTCTGAACAATTCAAGAGCCAAACTTAAGTCTTTATGCCTAACAGTTTTGGAGATATGCAAGGTATCTATAGGGTCAAAGGTCAGAAATGCTATTTCCAGTAACTTTTGGACAAACTATTGCATTAGTACAAATATAAACATGTACATTCAGAACAATTTAAGACCAAAAGTAAGTCTCTACTACTTTCCATAAATTTATTCTTTAATAATAATAATAATATAAACTTTATTTAGTAAATCAAATACATATCAAAATACAATATAGAAATATTTTAAAATGTAGAAAAACTAATGTAAAATATTAGGCCAGCTCTGACATATTCTACAATTTAAAAGCAACTTATCACAGTCTTTACAATCAAATTTTCAGACAAATTTATACACAATATAAAACTGTAAATAGATTTACGCATAAATTTGACACCAAAACTATAGGAAGACCAGAATTAGCAAACATATCGGAAGCACTACAAAATTTACTATTTTTATTTTACGCAAAGCGCCATTTTGAATTCAAAGGAGCAACCGGCATGGGGGACAACAAACGGCCACAAATTGTATAAGAAACATTTTACGAAGCAGTGGCGGATCCAGAGATGTCCAAAAGGGGGGCCAGAAAGGGGGGAGCCGAAATTTGGGCCGATCGAGACAACAATGTCCTAGGGGTTCCGCGAAATTTTTGTGTTCTAAACGCCCGAAAATAACATTTGTGGCGTTGTGGGCTATCATTTCTTTCTTTTTCTTTCTTTTTTTTTCTTTTTTCCCTTTTTTACCTCCCAAAAGGGGTGGGGGCCGGGGCCAGCCCCCCCCCCCATAAATCTGCCCCTGCGAAGTGCTTCCTTTTTAAAAAAAAAAACCATTCCTCCTATTAATATTATGGTGATGCTAGATTTTAGCTCATCGACTTTGGCCACTCAATTTCAATTCATTATTTTTCATGAATATTTTGCTATTTAAAATATTTAATGTGGTGACCAATAACAAAGATGGAATCTTTATGAATAATTGACTGTAACAAATATATTTTTATTTAATTAAAGGTAAAATGCAGACTACTAAAACGACGAAACAATATGAAATGTCTGCAAAAAAGGCTTATCATTAGAAAATGAACACAATCAACTCACTGCACTTCATTCGATATTAATCGTTTCAGACTGGAACAACATGCTCATTGAATTGTAAATAATTATCCTTCCAGTTATCGTAGGATTATGCTTAAACAATAAAAAGCACTATAAAAAACAATTTCATCGTCATGGGGGCCTACTGTAATACACTGGAAAACAAACAGCTGCATGTTTAGTAATTATTCAGACCCAGACATTAAAAAGCCACGATCAATAATGTTTTTATCGTTAAAACTCTATAGTTTCCTTAAATTTTTTCCAGTTTAATGCTTCATTATTTTTATTTTTCATGATGTGCAACGCACACACGCTTTTTCGTGCATTACATTTTTTGGACAAAATGTTACATTAGAGCAAATATAAACATGATGTCCCGAACAATTTGAGACCAAAGTAAGTCTCTGCGACTTTCCATTGCCAAGATAAATGATATTCACCCTCGCATGTATTTGGAAATAAGAGCAGCACAACAAAAAACAGGCCACAGTCAAGGGTTTCGCATTGCACACCTTCCATCAAACACCAGGAAAATTATCAATTGTTTTTACTTTTATGTTTTAAGTGTTTATATTATATTATTTTATTACTATCATATTTATTTCAAT